ATGAATTTGTCATGGTCTCATCTGACCTCGGCAATGATCCTGGGGATTAGCAGAATCCATGGGCGAAGTGTAAAGGTGGCCCTGATTCCCCTACAAAAGGAAAATGTCTGGCACAGATCCTGTGGCTCCTATCTCCTCTGGAATAGAAGCTTGGGCACTCAGCACTGTGCTTGGTGGCACCATTGATGGAATAGTGACCTGGTGATGGATTTCAGCAGTATCCACTCTGATTCTTGACAGATTGCCTGATTAGGAAATTATGAAAATGTTCTTGGCTCCCAGAAGGTGGAGAGCTATCTGGATTATGCCATGCAGCTAGCAACAGCTCCATAGTTTGATTGCCTCCCTGAAGAGGGAGAAAAAGATGGCACTCCCTTGCTCATATGGCATATTGTTGAGGTACTGTTTGTCTGTATCTATTCTACAGAATGTTATAAGATCAGAAAGAATGCCTTGCATGTGAGTCTGAAGACTCTGAGCTCCAAGACTTTTATGTGCAGTTTCATGTCCTCTGGGATCCATGTTCCTGTATCTGCAGGGTGGTCCAGAGGGGGTCCCCAGACTCATCTGTGACTTTTGCACTGGATGGCAATGGGGTCATGAATGACACTCCTTTTGAGCACTGCCTGGATGCAGCCAACAGGTCGGTACTGTGAGGGCAAAATACCAAATTAAAATAGTGCTCAATTGATGCTTTGTGGGGGAGTATACTTACCTGACCCAGAGTTGTAGGGACGTTGGGCAAACTCTGGCAAGCAGCATCACATATGTACATTGGACATATGCCCTAACAACATGAGGCAAGTATGTACTGTTGTCGCTGGATGCAATACCATAGTGTTCAGTTATGACTGAAGTGCAAGCTATCTGTCCTGTGGTAAGACAGCCCTTGCTGTTGTGAAATTTATCCTGGCCCCGAGGAACTGTGATTTTTGTTACCCTTCTCTGCATCTTTCCAATTCTAATATACCTTTTTGAGATGCAGTGACCAGAACTGCACACAGTATTCATGGTATGGGCATACCATGAATTTATACAGTAGCACTGTGATATGTACTGTCTTCTTTTCTATCCCTTTCCTAATTGTTCCTAACATTGTTAGCTTTTTTGACTGCCATTGCACATTGAGGAGCTGTTTTCAGAGAACTATCCACAATCTCTTTCTTTAGTTGTAACAGCTAATTTAGAACCCCATCATGTTGTATATATAGTTAGGATTATGTTTTCCACTGTGCATTACTTTGAATTTATCAACATTGAATTTCTATTACTATTTTGTTCCCCAGTCATCCAGGTTTGAGAGACCCCTTTGTAATTCCTCACAGTCTGCTTTGGACTTAACTATCTTGACTAATTTTGTATCATCTGCAAACTTTGTCACTGTTTACCTCTTTTTCCAGATCATTTATGAATATGTTGAACAGCACTGGTCCCAGTATTGGTCCATTGGAAACTCCCTTATTTAGCTCTTTCCACTCTGAAAACTGATCATTTGTTCCTACCCTTTGTTTCCTATCTTTTAACCACTTCCTGATCCATGAGAGGACCTTTCCTCTTATCCCATGACTGCTGACTTTGTTTAACAGCCTTTGGTGAGGGTCCTTGTTGCTTTGTGAAAGTCCAAGTATACTATACACACTGGATCACCTTTGTCCACATGTTTGTTGAACCCCCTCAAAGAATCTTAATAGATTTGGGAGGCATAATTTCCCTTTACAAAAGCCATGCTGACTCTTTCCCCCAAAATTGTGTTAATCTAGGTGTCTGATAATTCTGTTCTTTCCTATAGTTTCATCTAATTTGCCAGGTACTGAAGTTAGGCTTAGTGGCCTGGAATTGCCGGGACCACCTCTGGAGCCTTTTTAAAAAAAAAAAATTGGTATTATGTTAGAGATCTTTCAGTCATCTGGAACAGAGGCCAATTTTAGTGATAGTTTATATACCACAGTTAGTAGTTCTGCAATTTCATATCTGAGTTCCTTCAGAAATCTTCAGTCAATACCATGTGGTCCTGGTGACTTATTACTGTTTAATTTATTTCCAAAACCTCCTGTACTGACTCCTCAATTTTGGACAGTTCCTCAGGTTTATCACCTAAAAAGAATGGCTCGGGGTGGGAAGCTCCTATCTTCTGCATTGGAGACTATTGCAAAGAATTCATTTAGCTTCTCTGCAATGGTCTTGTCTTCCTGACTGCTGAGCTTTTAACACAATGAGAATATGGAATATTTCTTTTAAAGAAGTGAGCTACGTTGTCTCTTTTTAAATTTTTAAAAACTTTTAAATAACTGTATAATAGCCAGTGAGTACATTTTTGCTTAAAACTATATACTAAACTACACTTTGATTAAAATTTGGTGAGTCAGAGAAGTGTGATAAAAACACAAAGAAAGAATGCTACAATTCAAGAGCTGTTGTTATAGGAATTATCTTCTGCCTTTACTGTAAGTAATCCTCTGAGACATAAATCCAAGACTACAAAATGATTTTTTTAAAAGAAAATCATTAAAACAATTATTAAAGCATTTGTTAAACTTTAACACAATGCCTTAAAAGGACTGGATAAATGGAATAGCTAATATGGACTGAAGCAATTCAAGTGCAAAAAATTAATCAGATCCATCCAAGTATTTCTATATTTTTTCAAAATTGTGATCAGTTAAGCAATTTTTAAAACTGTAAATAAAATTGAAAATTTAGAAATTCTTGCATTCCTTTTCAGTATTTCATAAGCTATTTGAAGCATAACACTATCAATTTTTTAATTTTAAACTGAAAATTAGGTATACTTACACTTCTAAGGTCTCTTATAAAACTGCCAACATATTCATTAGCAGACAGGCTTTAAAGGCATCAACATTAAAGTGCTACTAATTTGCATCCAATTATCTCTCATTACTTGCTTTGGAAAGGCTGAGGTTTATTAGCATCTTGATGCTGATGGAAATACAATACCTGATAGCACATACTGTAGCACTCAACAAATACTGAAATACTGTTAAGTGTCCCATAGCTTTGAACTCTAAATTGTTAAGAAATCTACAGACTGAAAGAACTGTATATTATCTGAGCTTGACTGGCATATTCTGAAAACCCCATGACAGAGTCTGCAATTTGAAGCAGATTCAAGAAAGTTAGGTACATTATGGAGAATAGGTCAATAATAAGTTGTCATGTGAGTATGAGGTGGATTTTCTGAAGAGGAAAAAACCCTTCGATATCAAATTTAAAGCCCTGAATTAATTTGACACATTTTCAGACCATAGTTCAGGACTTACAGACACTATGATTTTTGGAATCTAGCACCCTCAATGGATGGTGTTCCACGAATAGCAACATTGGAATCTGTAGTGTAGACAAAAATCAGTTTGAGGTTTGTTTGATTGGTTGGTTGGTTTTACCACACAGTCATCTCACCGGGCTCAGAACAGAGTAAGATGATTTATGATAATAATTCCTGAACCTAGCATACTCTGCAGCCTCTGCCCCTCTGGTACTGCCAAGGTTCTACATCCCAAGGAACCTGACTGAGGGACGCAAGAGGCACCTCTATGGGTGCATCAAAGTTTCCAAACTGTGAAGTTACTGAAGTTCCCACTTGGTCTTATGCTTGAAGCAAGACAATAATGGGAAATCTCTGAGGTGGGTATCTATAGAAAAGCTATTTCTCTACTTAACCACCAGTTACCAGATGTAGTTTTCATAATTTACTATTATATAGACTTCTCATTCACTTTAATGGAAAATGTAAGCACAAAAAAGTCATTTGCAGTTTTTTATCATTTTATCATAGAAAGAAAACTAAGCATAATGTAGAGGAATGAGCAGAGGGCTGGGAACAAGGAAATCCTGAGGTGTAATCCTAGCTCTGGTAGTGACTCCTTTTGAGATCCTCTGCCTCCTCACTTCGAAAGTGGGGATACCTCTCTATGGGATGCTCTATCCCTGCAATTGCATTATTATTCATAAACATAAGAAATGGAAAAAACGTATTATGCCAACAGCTCCCTGACAATTTATGGTTATTCCAAACTATTCATATTTTTCCTTAATTTCTGTATTCTCAAACTAAAAAATGTCAGTGTGATACTATTATAGCACAGAAATAAAATTTCTCTTAAGTTTTTAGTTTGTCAGCAGGATAGGAAAGATCAGAAGATGAGGAGGAAATTAGTAAACTTCCAGTGGCTCTCAGAGCCTTTGAACCAAAAGTTTGCTTTACCCAAGAGTAGTCCATTAAATGCAACAGGAGTACTGCAGTACGTAAAACCTGCACATATACTATAGATTCAATTTAGCCTCATATATTATTGTGGTTTTTGCATTTAATTACTTACTGAGCTAAAAACCTGTATGTAACTAAATGCTGTTAAATTAGAGTAGAGAGAAAATATTACTGAGTTTAAAATACGGCGTTAGAGATCTGAGACAAAAATCAGAGCTGTCCACACAATTTTAAGGGTCACCTATGACAGTAGTCTATCACTACGCAAAAGTGAAATCTTGTGCAGTGAAGGTTCCTTTTGCCTATAAGACAGGCACAATGTAAAATGCATTTTCTGAGAGCACTGTAAAATTATTACAAACTGCAGCAAATCAGAAGAGAGGTATTATAGAAATATAGAACTACAGAATTATATCGTATGTGAGGGATGACAAGTTAATAAAAATCAGAAAATCAAAAATTTCTTTTTTTTTTTTAAACACATAGCACAGGTATCTATGAAGACACCTAAAAATTGATTATTTTCAAAAGTACCCAAAAAGAGATGCATAAAGTGCAATAAAACATCATTTAATATTTCATGAAAGTAAGTATTTATGTAGTATTTAAGCTGTCAGCCAGCTTCACACATTGGCACCTATTATCAACTTTCATCTAATTCCTTGTCTAACGGCTACACGAGCTCTCACGTTTCCATTGCTGTTATCGTTGTTCATTATGAGAAAGTTGTATAATCAGTTTGTTATAAAATTGAATTGTACTGTATTGTACTTACCTAGTCCTTTAGGAGTAATGCCACTGCTATCAGCAGGATTAACTACCCAGTAGTAGTATTTCAGTGTGTGCATTAGCTGTAATACTGTTCCTACTCTGCGTATGGTGGTGTAGATAGTAGCAGTGCCAATAAATTCAGCAGACAGATAGGTATACAGTGAAAGCTGCACCTGAAGAATAAAATTATAGCCCACAAATATAAAGTTAAATCTTATTTTCATATTAAATAGAGATGTTAACAGTAAGTGAATTAAAATTATTATAGAATGAGTGATTTTTTTCCCCAATGGCTCATATTTTGGCTGCTTGAAGTATGATTTTTCAGATTTTGCATTTCGTTTTCATTCATACAGTCTTAAACCACAATGCATGAAAAAAACTGCAGGTTGATTTTTATTGGGGATGAGTAATCATTTCTATCATATTTCCTAACAGAAAAGATGAACAATTAAAAACTCAGTATACATGTTAGATGTAAAACTGCAAATTACAGGATTTTTTGCCTTTGGTTTACAATTACAAATATTTAATACTGCATTTTAAAAAAGTAAGCTGCATTAATTACCATAGGTAAAGGAAAACTTGTATGTCACTTTACAGTACAAGAAGCAACAACACATTTACACTGTACACATACCTTTGCAGGGGTATGTATCCAAATAGCAGGATTAAAAAGGATGTGATCACACAATTGCTTCAGTAAAGGTGCTCCATGTGACAATCCATCCAGATATTTTGCAAAAGACAAAAATTGCTCCAAAACTGCCCTGGTTATATGAACTCTAGATGACTGAACAAAGGAAAAAAAAAATGTAAACTCGGTCTTAATACACTTTCATTCAATCTTCCAGCCTTACTCTAAAAGAAGAGATTTGAACTGGGGCAGTATTTACTAAGCACGAGTAAAATGCTACATTCTTATTCTTAAAGACAAGAATAAAATCAGACAAATACATATACATTCTCATAACTCATACTATTGGTCTTTCTCACAGAGAAGAAAACTATTTTTTGGTCCATACAGTTTCCCAGTTCAAAAGATGAATATTGTGTTCACTAATAATTCATCTCAGTAATGGTCAAGATTTAAATGCTCCTTTTTGCTTACTGATAAGGTGTTTGAATCTTAACTTCAATATTTGCTTTGAAACTATGCTCAAATATCTGCAGCTAAGATTATTTTTTTTCCTGTTTTCTCCATTTTATTTTCCTCCATATCATAGTCAGTCTTCCACTCTTTGAAGTGTTGTGTCTCGTTAATTCCTTTTGAATTCTTCAGCATTTCTTCAGTGCTGTGAACTACTTAAATATTTTATGGTGGAACATTTTTTCCCCAAGTTAATGGGTGTCTCAATACACAACTGAGCAAGCAGGCTTTTGTTTTTAAACCTATAGAGTAGTTTGAATTTAGATTTTTTTTTCTTACTACCTTTTTATTTAAAGAAGCCTTCAGTTTCATAGCATACAGTGTAAAATCATGGATGAAGTGCTATTTTCTCACTTGAAGTGATATGACATGTAGATCCATTTTACATTTTTTTTTTAAGTAAACAAGAGAAAACAATAGTGTTGAGCAGCAACACAATGCCATTGTAAGGGTATCAGTTATTTTTAATGTTCTATGTCTATTAACTGAGAAAATATGGTATATTCCTTAACAAGTAAAAGATTTTCTTTTCTAATTGTCAATGCTGCAACTCAGCCTGAGATTTGAGACTTAAGATAGGTTCTTTCTTCTTCATTTGTATTATTGTAGCACCTAGCGGTATGTCTACACAGCATTATAGAGCAAGGCTCTGGAGCTCAGGCTCTGAATACTAAAGAGTAGGGTGGGCTTCAGAGCCTGAGATGAAATTTCAAAGCTCTATCTATACAACTATTTTTAGAGTGCTAGCACAAGCCCACTAGCCCCATTGTCAACCCAGACTTGGAGGCTTGCTTCAAAATGTTGTGTAAACACACCTTAGGAGGCTTAGTCATGGACCATGACTCCATTGTGCTAGACACTGTACAAACACAGAACAAAAAAATTGCCCCTACCCAAAAGAGCTTACAATCTAAGTATAAGACAAATGATAGAGAGAGAGAGAGAGAGACAGACAGACAGACAGACAGACAGACAGACAATGGAGTATAAAGGAAACAATCAGACAATATTGGTGATAGGCAGTGGTCACAGCACACCAGCAGCCTAACGGTTATCAATTATTTTGTAGGCATTATGACAAATTAGAGTTTTGAATGTAGATAATCAGGTAGCTTTGTGCATGTTTATGGTGAGCTTCTCCGAAGCATGAGGGGCAGCATGGGAGGAAGCATGAAGGTGTTTGAAAATTTAACAAGTGGGCTATGGGGGCTGGCATCATGCATGGACCAATTGGAGGCAAGGGTCAACCTCTTGATCACAAATCAGGTGGTAGGTAGAGTGGGAATAATGCATCACCACCAGTAAAAACATTTTGCAACTGACACATAGATAAGAGTTCATTTGATGCGCAAGTCAGAAAATAATCTCTCTCCATTCTATTCGGTCATATGCATGTAAGTGTAGAGAAATCTACAATAAGAATAGTGAGGCTAGATGTGAAATGAAAAATAATAATTCTTCTCTTATAGCTGCAAGTTTGACAGGAGCATTTACCAGGTAAGTAAGAGAGGACGTTATTTACCTGTAACTGGAGGTTCTTCAAGATGTGGGATCCCTATTTGGATTCTAAACATGGGTGCACATGTGCGCCATGTGCCAGCCCTGGAAGGTTTCATAGCAGAGTCCATTAACCTGCATGCGTTGTGCGTCGCCTCGTGCTTCTGTCCGAGGTTATAATAGGCCATGTGGGTTGACGCCTCTCCCTTGCCCTTCTTACTGCTGAATATTCCGGTGTGGAGCAGAGGAGAAGGAGGGCAGATATTGGAATCCAAATAGGGACCACACATCTTGAAGAACCTCCAGCTACAGGTAAGTAACCTCCTCGTCTCCTTCAAATGATGGTCCCTATATGGATTCCAAATGTGGGTGAGTGGCAAGCAGTGATCAGCATGGAGGGTGGGTGCGAGAATGGGGGTGAAAGTACTGAGTGCAATACAGCTTGGCCTACTCCTGCATTTGCTGCTGCTGCTTGGGCAATGGTGTAATTTGAGGTAAAAATGTGCACAGGCGACATGGCTGCTTGAGTCTGGTACAGTGCGCCGTGATGACATCAGGTTGCCTCATGTTGCTGAACGTGTAGCATTCCTGGATGCACCCAGAGACCCATTTGGAAATGAGTTGTGAGGAAAGGGTGTGGCCCTTGCATCATTTGGCAATTGCTAACAGAGTTATGATGATGTTCGGAAGTCAAGGGTTTGTTGCAGACATCAAGGGAGTGGAGGAGTCTGTCCGCAGTTGAGGTGTAGGGTTTAGCGTAGAAAACTGAGGTGTATACACTGATTGAGGTGGAACTTGGACACCACCTTAGGAAGTAATTTAGGGTGTAGATGCAAAGACACTTTGCCTTTGTGTAATATGGTGTCTGGGGGCTCAGCCATCATGGCCACTAGTTCAGTGACCCATCTAGCCACGGTAATGGCCAGTACGAAGATTACCTTCATGGAGCAATATGAAAGGGAGGACATCACCAGGAGTTCAAAGAGCGGTTTTCTGAGAGCAGTGAGAACAAGATTAAGGTCCCACAAGGGTGTGAGTTTTTGTAATGAAGGGAAGGTGTGGAGCAGGCCGTTTAGGGAACAGACTATAGTAGGGTGTGTAAACACAGAAATGCCATCCATTGGGTGGAGGAAGGCACTGAATGCCACCAGGTGGACGCATATGGAGCTAAGGGCTAGGCCCGAAATCTTGAGTTCAAGAAGGCAGTTCAGGACAATAGGTATGGATATCGTCGTGAGTGGGTATTGCTGATGGTGTGCCCAGGAGGTGAAGTGCTTTCATTTCACTTGGTAGCAGGCTCTGGTGGATGTTCTTCTGCTTTGAGTAAGGATACAATGCACTGGGGTGGAGCAGGCACTGCCAGAGCTTGAGCTCCATCCAAAAACAAAGCTGTGAGGTGAAGAGGGCTAGGATGCCGGAGCTGGCCCTGGTCTTGAATGAGGAGATCCGGCTCTGTGGAGAGGCAGAGCGATGTGCAGGCAGACCATTTCAGGAGGTCCATGAACCAGCACTGTCATGGCCAAAATGGGGCTGTTAGTATCACTCTTGCTCGATCCTGATGAATCTTGCAGATGACTTGCAGGAGGAGGGAAAGGAGAAGGATGTCGCCCTGAGTCATCTCCCACCATCCCTCTGGAGCAATAGAGGGCAAATTTGCAGTTCTCACAGATTGCGAAAAGGTCCAAACATGAGGTGCCCCACTCATGGAAGAGGTATTGGAATGTGGTGTTGTGCAATTCCCATCCATGGGAAAAAATCCTAACCAAATTTAATCTCCAAATAATGAAGATTAAATCAGGGACCAATTGGGCTTTATATGACAGCTGGTATATTCATTTGGAATTTGTGACCGAATATTAGTTTTATGGAAGGAATCATTCGTCAGAGCATCCTGTCCTATTACTGACCAATAAGTAGAAAAATGGTGAAAAGTCTTGATAGTGGATCTTGCAAGTCCTGGTGGGTGGGGAGAGGTGGAAAGAAAAAAAACTCTTGCTCTGGGGGACTGAAACTCTTCATTCACCCTGTGTCTTATGTGTTTTAGATTATCCTTTAAACACTTTCAGAAACCTATTGCACACTTGTAGGCCTAGATCATCATAATTAAATTAAAAGTAACTTCCAAAGGGACTAGACAAATTGAGTTTTATCTTCCTTCCAGAGGCTTCCCTGTGTTTTACTAACAGGGCCGGCTCCAGGCACCAGCTTGGCAAGCAGGTGCTTGGGGCAGCCCTCCGGAGAGGGGCGGCAGGTCCAGCAATTCAGCGGCAATTCGGCGGACGGTCCCTCACTCATGCTGGAAGCGAAGGACCTTCGGCCGAATTGCAGCCGCGGGTCGCAATCGCGGCTTTTTTTTTTTTTTTTTTTTTGGGCTGCTTGGAGCAGCCAAAACCCTGGAGCCGGCCCTGTTTACTAACCATGCACAGTCTTCCACAGTACAGAAGCCATCTGGCAAGGAAAGCAACTGAATTATGAATAAAATGCTCTTAAGAGAAGTGTGTTCATAAACTTAATCACTTAATGATTTGCAAATACCTTGAAACATGAGGATTTGTAGTCCGTCTTTAAAAAAAAAAAAGTGTTATCCTATCTAAAATAAACTGTATGTGGCCATTCTGGCACCAATAGCACTATCGCAGATGTTTTTCAGCTCAATTCATGCAGCTGGTCAAACTTGATCTGATGCTCAGAATGGAAAAGAAGGTGGAAATGATACCCTTATATATCAGTCATTGCCTTCTTTGAATTTCAGGTTGGAACTCACTTCTCCTATAGTGATAAACCATTTTTGATGTTCACCCTCAGAAACGAATGGAACCAGTAAATTTTCAGGAGGCTTTATGTGACAATACTGTTACAGTAAGGGACCCACATTTATGATTTAATGGAATTTTATAACACATTTTGTTCCCAACTATCAATGAAGTTTCCTCTTTCACACCTTCATCATAGGTCACTTAAGTTTACAGTAACTGGAATAGGTAGTAGGGTGACTAGAGTGCTAGTGGTTCCAAGTCTAGGGCTCATTAAGGTGTTTTTAAAGTCTTTTGCCTTGGCAGTACAAGGAAAGAAACATTTATTTTGCTCCATAATAGCATCTACTAAGTTTCAGTCAGTGATTTCGTTTCAAGTGGTGGACAGCTTGGCTGTTCTAAACTGTCTCCACTTGGCTGCTGATACAAATACCTTCCATTATGGGGAAAATTACTTTGAGGACTAAATTTCAAGAATTTGGTCTGAACTATCTGGCACCATGGGAGCAAAGTAAGTTCTGGAGGGAACAAATGCTACATCTGTGCTTGGAGGTGTTGGGATCATTTGTTCCAACAGCATAGGTTTGGATGATATGCTCTTCTTGGTTGGCAACTACTTGTAGACAAGTACTAGGTCTATTACTGGTAGAGAAGTCCATTCCTTCCTGAGTCAAGGAGGCAGCTGGTGGAGCACATCTGACAAGAACTCCTCAGGTTTCGGATTCATTACTCATCCAATCATAAATAACCAAAGCTTAGTGAACTTCGGGACATGATGCAAGACTCATTTGTTTTTCCTAGATATGAAGGAATGGGAACTCTTTGGAAGGAGACTGCTCTTGATGGTAGCCCATTCCCTATTATTATTGTTTTGTTAGTTAATGGTTGAAGGGACATTACAGCATTTGTCTATTCAAAACTGTATATTTAAGGAATTTTCAGGGGTGCCTAGAATAAGAGATAGTTACTCCTTTTGATGTGGATTGTATGTGTAAATAAAATGAAATAATAAAAATAAACAAAAACTGGAGGAACTTTTAAAGAGTGCTCACTATGTTTAAACTTGGCTTTCCAGTTCTACACAGGATTTGAGGGGTAAGACTTATCTGAGCTTAAAGGGAAGTTACTAATAAATATGAGGAAAGAGAAAAGGGATTTCTGAACATTAGTACATGACGTGAACTATCAGGCCGGAAAAGAAGAAAAGCATCCTGTAAACAGCATATAAAATATTAAAATTACAGAACTTCCTAGATACTTACTAACATGGAGAACTAAAAGACTAGTAGCACAAAAAAATACATGACTGAAAATACTGTATTCAGCTAGGTTTTCAGAATGATCGTATTAATGCAAAGAATAATATTAATACAACTTACCTTTTCAAGGAGGTAGCCAATGACTAAAAAGCCTTTTCCACCCAGCATTTGTTCTTGCATGGCTACTGAACTCTTAAGAAGTTCGACCAGGAAAGCCAAAAGGGTGGCACTGCATGTAAAGTACAGGCATTAATCAGATTTAAAATGTTCTAAAAGCAACCTGTTGTGTTTTCACTAGTCATCAGTTATTAAGTGAGAAGAAACAAGCTTAAAGTGAACTTTATTTTTAAGTATGAAACCAGAAATTTCACATTTTATGCTGAATAGTTTTTAGTCAATTATTCACATATTACATTACTTTTGCAATCATATTCAAACTAGGGGTGATGATCATCTATGTCAACTCTCCTACTTTGGCCAGGACTGCCCCAAGTTTTAAACACCCACTTCCAGAACCTGCTATCAAAGTCATGGGCAGTTGGATGAGGCAGGAACTGATGAGTGAGATCCAACTGACAGACCTAGATTGGTGTAGACGGAGGTTGTCTCAGCAATCTTTTAAACTTCAAAATCAAGAGAAACCTTGTAAATTTCAGACCAAACTTCTGGCCACTTTACACCATCACTCCAGTCTCTATGGTTACTACTAAAGCAGATATGTATTCATGCAGGCAATACTATCCAGAACACAGCACAATGGAGCTGTGGTGTTGAGTGTTTCCTTCCTCCCCAACAACCCTGAGGACAGACTCCAGGCATCAATATCTGGCCACACAACATGGTCCAATGTGCACCGTAGTATGGGCTAAAGATCAGTTTCACCTGTTGGGAAAAGTGTAAAGAAGAGACCAGTCCAGGAGAATCAAAGAAACCAGCCTCCAGGCCAGTAGTGCTCAGCCCCTCTCTGTGAACAAGATGCTTAGCTGGGACGGAGAGACAAAAAAAGTGGTCACAAAAGACTACTATTTGAAGGAACAGAAGAAAAGGTGGGAGAGACTATAGAAGACAGACTTGCCAAAAAAAGGTGAAAATATATATTGTGAGGACCCAGGGTGATAGAGGGATGTGTGAGAAACCAGTTAATTGAGAAGAAGAAAAAAGCAATTAACAAAGCAAGGTCAGAGCAATGTAGCAAGGAAAAGAAATGCATTAATAAGGTGGAGTCAGAGGAAGAGAAAGAAATGCATTCATCTGTTGTTCAGAAGTACACAGAAGGGGAAAAATAGGAACTCATGGCAGAGATTAAAAAGAGGAGCACATTTTTTTCCACTGGATGATTTTTTAAATAAGCCAGAGAGCTGTTGGATTGTTGGAAATGAACTGTAGTGTACCAAAGGCCTTAAATATAACCCTTTTAAAAATAAAGTAACAAAAATTCATTCAAATTTAGAGGCAAATATCTATTTGTCCCCATATATTTAGTTTGTTATAAGAATTCTCCCGGGAAAATTAATTTGTGTACTGGCAACTGTGGAAGAATGAATTAAAGATAATATCAACCCTACACTTTACAAATTTAAATTTTACTTAAAGAATCTAACTAAAGGTTCTACTGCTTCTCAAACACAACTTTTTATTTCTGAAAACATTTTGAGACCAGGTAATCCACGTCAGCACCAAAAAGATTATCGGCACAAGGAGGGAAACAGGAAGCAGTATTCCTGGTGAGGAGCGCTGAGATGAAAGTACACAGTGTAGTCAGAATGCATGCTGTGAATAGGATCTAGTGTCTTGTCTTGCTTTATTATTGTACAATAATCAGTATAAATCCACACACGGTATCCTCTACAAATTATCAGCAGTAAAGAACACAGACAATATCCAATTACAGTACTCAAAAGCTTTTAATCAAATCAGTCTGTCAAACTGTCATTCATTTCAAATCAAGTAAAATTCATCAGCTTTATTTTTTATCCTGATAGAAAAGCACTGTATTTTATTAAGTATATCTATAGTGAACAACTTTACTCTTTAGCAGCTCAAGAGAGGCAAACTGTGTTTTACAAAAAACTGACATATACAACATTCCAGATTGACCTATATTTAGAAATATAATTGTTTAAACTAGTCACAACCTAATATGCCAATCCTGCATAGATTTTATACCTGTACTTAATTCTATGCACTGGGAATAGTCCCCTTTTCTTCAACAGGACTGCTCACCATGTGTGTAAAGTTAAGGAAAAGCATAAATCATTGTGAAATTAGGCCCTAGAATTATAATCATGAATAGGATTGATATAAAAATCAGAAATTATTATTAGAAATTATAATGGTTGATGGACTATTTAATATGGGGGTAAACTGGGACTCAGAACACCTGTTTTTTCCCCAGTTCTGCCAGGGACCTACTATGTGACCCTGGGCAAGTTACTTCACCTCTCTGTGCCTCTAACCATTTGTTCGTCTTGTCTATTTTGATTGTAAAATCACTGATAAAGACTTACTCTTACTATATATTCATACTGTCTTTAGAACAATGGGGCCCCAGTTTCGTATGAGGCCTCTGGGCACTACTGTAATATAAATATAAACAACAACCACCACCACAACAAACAAATATGGTATTTTATGGGGAAAAGCCATTAGTACCATATAGAGTATAAATCAAATCTTTGAGAGAGAACATGTTAATGGGCCACTGCAAACCTAAAATAATTAAAATTACAAGTACCAGAGAAATTAGAGGTTAAATGGAGCCATCTCACATTCACCTAAAGATATAACCATCAAGAAGTTTGGGGCAAATTCTGTATAAGACAACAGAACTGACTACATTTAGCTAGTTAAACATAACTAGAGAAAAAATGGTTTATGTATATTACTAAAGAGAACACAGAGCTATTAAGGGGCGTCTAACATGTCAAATGATATAAAAGATCTGTAAAGCCACTTCACAAATATTTGTTTTTAAACTGCCATTGCACATATAGCATAGAAATGAGATGATTAAAGGAAAGGACAGAAAAATTACATGCTTGGCCTGAATTTGTTGTGGAAGTCTTGCATACACATTTCAGTCATTGGCTTGGGAAAGGGACAGACTACATTAAATAACAGCTCCTGTACAAAATATTAATTAAAGAAAAGAGGACAGAGACAGGCCTCTCCTCTTTTATACACTGTACATTATCTAACATGTATGTTTTACACTATGGAAAGTTTTATCTGCCTACCTGAAGGATCTAACTATTACACAAATTTGAAAGTTACTTCCTTTCAACCCCCCCTGTAAGTTCCACTTTAACATTTATTGAGACTGACTTCCCAACCAAGCATAAATAGTACTAAAATAAACAAGTAATCACTCTCTCTGACACTGAATTCTGAGGGTCTTGTTTGAGAAGGTATCATCTCAGAGGATTAGGCCCCTAGTTTTTAATACTGTCTATTTCTAGAGCTAGTCAAACTAACAGTTAATTGTATTAAGTCGGCCATTCAAAATGTTAGCAAATGAGCTATAGCTGAAGTCTTTAAAGTATAACATTTATTTTATCAGCAGAACCATGAAGCCAAAAAGAAGCTTTAAAAATGATTACTGGTGACATAATGGAAGTAATATTGTTTAGAAGGCCATCTTCCAAGATGAACATTTTTCAAACAGAATTTAACAAACTTACCAGTAACTAAAATGCATCGGATTGCTGCAGGGCTCACATTAAACTTGCAAAATTCTGTGCACTGCCATACAAAATTTCTCTCCATTCTTGCCTATTTCCAACTCCCCTAGATACAAAGGCAAATATAAAGGATACTTCAGCCCATTCCTACATCTCCTCTATACCATGTCCCACCTAGAACACATCAGGTTGCCTGCACAACAGCTAAAATATACGATATACACAATGGCAAGTATGCATGTAAACGAATACAGAAGAAAACAGATACTGTGTTTTCTGATGAAAAATGTGTTGATCTCAGGACATCAGGATATGTTTCCAGCAATACTTTTCAATCCACAGCAGGAAATTGCCACACTTTTCAATGAATCATGCTACTCCTCTTATTCAAGAATTAGCAAGTAATGGAGATAACAGTCTCTGGAAGATTATATGTACTTTATCATGATAAATACCTGGAACTGGTTATATGAATAATCTACTACAAACTTTTTTTTCCCCCCACAAATGTACCAACAAGTGTACTCTTGGAAGGGTAAGAAAGCTTTTAATCAGAAAGGTGGAGATATTTATCAGAAAATATATGTGCTATGGGAATAACTTATGGATTCAACAGGGAGACTAAGATATCCTTTATATTTGCACTTGCTGGCTATTTTTCCTATATAATTTAGGCACAACATAATTTGTTTTGTCATATGCATTATAAAGTCAGTACATTAATTATTTAACTTCTCTATAAACTGATTTCCTTCATGCAGAAACATGATTTAATATGAATCCCTATTATGTGTAAATCATCTTCTGTTACCAAAAAGCTACTTAGCAATGCCACCCCTTAAACAGAAGGATGATAGTTTTACAGCTTACAGGCATAAAAACACAGATTTTGGATAATGGGTTTCATAATTCCAGAATGTGATAATCCTCATTCTTAAAAAAAAACAAAAAAAGCAATAACTTTTGCTCATAATCAAAATAGCTTCTTGTATAGTTCCTTCAAGTTGGATATTCAGACCGCGAAACATTTTCAAGTATAAAGACAATTCATTTGTAACATTTGAAGATCCCAGCTGTATGGTCTATACTGAGTGAATCAATGAACAATAGGCAACTTTCTTTAACAAACTCTAAAATGAATGTTTCCTCCTTTGAGAGCAATTTATTATTGCTTTATGGATCCAAAACATTTGATTAACTGGAGAACATGCTCCTAAATGGGCTGAAATATCACCATGTCCCTTACAGACCAGATCACCTAACAGACGTATCATTTATCCATATCAAACAACAAATGCTTCAATAGAAATCTGGGGTGGGGGGAGGAGAAGTAGAAGGGGAGTTTGTAATATAATAATAATACATTGCAGAGATAATGAAGCAATGGATAAACATGGCACGGTCTGTATTAGTGAAGGAGAGTTCTAAGTCTACAAATCAACCAAAGATGGTAAAAGAAACTTTGGCCACTGTTGCTTTCTGAGACTCTATGGAAATTGATTCTATAACAGCTTGAGAGGGTGAGCCATTGATTCAAAATAGAAAATAT